TTCAGGTAAGAAGAGGGGAAGATGGTCAGACGAAATCGTTGGATTCAGGCATTTGGTAATTAGGAAGGGGATTTCGTCAGGACATATCTATCGAGAAGGGAACTGGGCTGCCCACTTTCTTGCGGATTATCATGCGACCCATTTCATGGTCTTTAGGGATAAATCTGCCTTGCCAATTCAAGCTCAAAATTGCTCATAATTTATATTTCTTTAATATTCCTTCTATTAGACGTTGTATTTAAAGATTGGGTCAGGTATAGTCCCCCCTCCCCCCCCCCCCCCCCCCCAATTTTTCTCATTTATTTTGTTTCGTTCACTTGTATCTTGAGGAGGTATGCCTTCTCAGGAGAAGATTTGGTCTATTCCCCCTCTCCTATTTTGTACCCTTTTATTTATTTAATAAAACATGATAAATGTTCACCGATATTTACCGCACTGATTTTGGTGGTTTGTCTTCCTATTTAAAAAAAAATGTCTTCGATCTCAGCATCATACTTCAAATAAAAAAAGTAAATATATTAAACATCATACTTCAAATAAAAATAAGTAAATATATCTCCAAATAATGTTTGTTTATGTGTTTCATAAAAAAGTCGAGACATGTTTTTTGGATTTTCCCACTACGCACGTTGACATGATGATAATATATGTGGAGTTGTCTTCATCTTCCTATTTTAAATGTTCCTTTTCCCCTATATGTTGCTTTTTCCCTGCTTAGGCCGAAATCTTTGACGTTATTCGGAGTATTATAATTATAATAATGGGCGATAAATAGACTTGCCAATCAACTTTAGGAACAATATTAAAAAAAAAAAACTTTTCGAACAAAGCAGGGCCGTCTATAAACGTTGTGGTCCGTATAATCGAGTTGGTGATATACAATAACTCAAATGATTTTTCACGGCAACAGATCATATTTCAGAAAAACGGCCAATACAATCACATTCTTCTCAATGATTTTCTGGGACACACAAAGTGACCGCCCACTTCCTATCTCTACTGAGGATGATATTCGAAACTCCAACTTCAACAGAAAGATTTGTTATAAATCTCAATTCGTCACCACATAACTCAAAAATTACAGAAAAAATCAGAAGAATAAACGGTGACACAACATGAAGACTAGATCACAGTAAAAAATTCCATGGGCATAAGTTTTTTCCCCATTCTCTTTGGTATTTCCTTTATTTTCCGCATTGTACTCTTATCTTTTATTATCAATAAAACTTTTATTTTCAAAAAAAGCTCAAAACTCGTGTATTTCTGAAGTGATGAACAAATAATCATCATATATGTAACCAAGATCAAATAACATCACACAATAGATCATAATCATAAATTCATATGGACTTACTTGGAGAATATCCAATATTCATTTGGGAGAGATTGGAAGAAGATGATGCCATTGCTCTAAGAAAATGAATGTGTAATCCCTTATAGGACAAATAATAGATGGAATATATATTAGAGAGTTGTGATAATCCCTTGATGGTGTTTGTGTTGTACGTATCTTGCTTTTAGGAATGGGGAGGAGTATTTATATTGGGAAATAACCAATAGACACAACCCTTCATTTATTGTCCTAAAGGGTGTTACCACAATTGTACCCCTTAAGTATTATTTCCATCAAATAATACACATATATAATACATAATTATATATATAATACATAAATATAGAACACATATTAATATTGGTCATTAGGCCATATTAATTGGAAAAATTCCAACATTCTCCCACTTGGCCTAGCGACCAATAATCGTTAATTTGGCCAAGTATGTGTTCTAAATACCTAACATCTATACTATAATAGAGAAGTACAGTCACATGTATCTGTATCGATACAGGACCCCCACTAATCATACTATAGCACATGTATTAGGATTTTAAGGTCATTAAACATAAACGATCAAATGTAATGTGGTAATTAATATTAATTTGTCTATGATACCAATATTAGTGCGCACGGTATACATTTGATAGACACTTAAATATTCAAGTAAATCCTTATATACATGAATTTGTTCATAAGAGCCCTATGCTAATCAAGTAAGGTCTCAACTAAAACCCATTCTCATCACATGTTCTTGAAAAATTTTGGGTGGTAGACCTTTTGTCATCGGATCCGCAAGCATATCATGAGTGCTAATGTACTCGATAGAAAGATTATTTTCTTCAACTCGTTCACGTACAAACAAGAACTTTGTATCGAGATATAATCCAGCCCCGCTCGAACTGTTGCCATTTGAAAAGCTTACGGCGGCAGAATTATCACAGTAAATCTTCAACGGTCTTGAAATGGAGTTAACTATTTTGAGTCCCTTGATCAAATTCCTCAATAACATTCCATGACATGTTGCGTTATAAACACCAACATATTCAGCCATCATAGTAGAGGTAGTGGTCAGTTGTTGTTTCTGACTCCTCCATGAAATGGGCCCGCCTGCCATCATAAAAATGTATCCCGACGTCGATTTTCTATCGTCTTTGCATTTAGCGAAATCGGAGTCAGAATATCCCGTTACTTCTAAATTGTTTGTTGCTCTATAAGTCAGTTTGTAATCTTTAGTCCCCTGAAGATATCGTAAGACCTTCTTAGCAGCCTTCCAATGATCAAGACCAGGATTATGCTGATATCGGCCTAACATACCAGATATGTAAGCGATATCGGGACGAGTACAAACTTGAGCATACATCAAACTTCCAACTATGGATGCGTAAGGAATCAACCTCATTTGATCCTTTTCTAATTCCGTTTTTGGACATTGAAATGAGCCAAAAACGTCTCCTTTAACAACTGGAGCGACTGAGGGAGAACAATGTTGCATGTTAAAGCGTGCGAGTATACGTTCCACGTATGCCTTTTGAGACAGTCCTAATGTCCTATTGGCCCGATCTCGGTGAATTTCGATGCCTATAACATAAGAGGCTTCTCCGAGGTCTTTCATTTCAAAATGTCGTGAAAGTAATCGCTTTGACTCATGCAACAAGTCAAGACTATTACTTGCCAATAAGATGTCATCAACGTAAAGAACAAGTATCGCAAAATTGCTCCCACTCATTTTGAGGTAGATACATTGATCCACTTTATTTTTATAGAAGTCGTTCTTTTTCATGACTTCATCAAATTTTAGGTACCACTGGCGTGATGCTTGTTTCAGCCCATATATTGACTTCTTAAGTTTACATACCAGATGTTCTTGACCTTTAACTTTAAAACCTTCTGGTTGGGTCATATACACATCTTCATGCAAATCACCATTAAGAAAAGCGGTTTTAACGTCCATTTGATGTAGCTCTAAGTCAAAATGAGCTACTAGGGCCATGACAATCCTTAAAGAATCCTTTCTCGAAACATGGAGAGAAAGTCTCCTTGTAATCAATTCCCTCCTTTTGGGTGTATCCTTTGGCGACCAATCGTGCTTTGAAGCGCTCGACATTTCCATTTACGTCTAATTTAGTTTTGAAGACCCACTTACATCCTACTGGTCTTACGCCCTTAGGCAATTCAGCAAGTTCCCATACGTCATTCTTACTCATGGAATCAAGCTCGTCAATCATTGCTTCATTCCATTGAGTAGATTGGTCACTACAAATGGCCTCATTATAAGAGGTCGGATCATCATACTTTCCTAGATCAGCCTCATTAAGATAGATTACATAATCATCAAAATTAGTGGGCCGTCTAGATCTTTGCGATCTTCTCAATGGTGGTTCGGGCTCTTGAAGTTCAGTGATAACTTCGGGGATTTGCTCAGCTTGAGGTGTTTCATTATTTTCCTCAAAAGCTAGTGTTTCTTCATCTTGTGGCATATAGGGAGCAGCATTATCTTCGAGAGATGAACTTGACAGGGTAGTATTGTCTACAAGAGGTGCAATAGGTTGAAAAGGTACAGAGAACATTCGCCCCTCCTCTTGCACTTCTTGTAAATCAACATCATCGATACACTTGCTCCCACTAATGTTGGAGTTCTCTAAGAACTCAGCATGTCGAGTCTCAACAATGCGAGTAGTGTGAGACGGGCAATAAAATCGATAACCCTTTGAGCGTTCAGGATATCCTATAAAGGAGCAACTAACGGTTTTCATGTCGAGCTTCCTTTGTTGGGGATTATAAAGCTTAGCTTCAGCCGGGTAGCCCCATACTTTCATATACCTAAGGCTCGGTTTCCTTCCCGTCCAAATTTCATAAGGGGTTTGCGGAACAGATTTAGAAGGAACCCTATTAAGTATATGAACAGCCGTTTTTAAGGCCTCGGTCCATAGAAATTTAGGTAAGCTTGTATTAGCTAACATACTTCGTACCATGTCCATGAGGGTCCTATTTCTTCTCTCAGCAACACCGTTTTGCTGAGGAGTACCCGGCATGGTAAATTGATTTATGATCCCATGTTCCTTACAAAATTCAAAGAAGGGTCCGGGAGCCTGACCTATATCAGTATGTCTACCATAATACTCGCCTCCTCTATCTGATCTCACTACCTTTATCTTACGGTCAAGTTGATTCTCAACCTCGGCCTTAAAGGTTTTGAACATGTCAAGTGCATCAGATTTTTCATTGATTAAGTACAAATACATATATCGCGAATAATCATCTATAAAAGTGATAAATGACTTGTGTCCAGTTATTCCAGCGGGAAAAGGACCACAAATGTCAGTATGAATCAATTCCAGTAAACCGGAACTCCTTGTGGCGCCTCTTTTATTTCCCTTTGCCATTTTACCTTTAAGGCATTTTACACATATTTCAAAATCACTAAAATCGAGAGATGGTAATATTCCGTCCTTCACAAGCCTTAGCATTCGATCCCGTGAGATGTGGCCCAAACGTTGATGCCACAACATGGATGAAGTTTCCAAGTCTCGTTTTCTTTTAATTGGATTTTCGTTGATATTATATGACAACAAGGATTTTGAAAAAGTATCATCCAAGCATAATTTATAAAGGTTGTCTTCTAAGCAACCATAACCAACAACATCGGAATCTTTACATATAGTAACTTTACCATTATTAAAAGTTAATACATAACCATTATTGTTTAACTTAGGTACAGATACTAAATTCCGAGTAATGCTCGGTACATACAATGTGTCATATAAATACATGCAGAAGTCACCCTCCAATACTAAAGGTAAGGTACCAACAGCTTCAACATTAATGTCTTCACCATTCCCGATTTTAATGGTCCTTTGGTTTCTTTCCAACCTCCGGATTGTATGGAATCCCTGTAAGGAGTTTGTAACATGAACCATGGAACCAGAATCAATCCACCATGTGTTTATTGGAACACCTATATTAAAGGACTCATAAATCATAAATAGATGTGTACCTTTCTTGGCTAACCATTCCTTGAATTTTGAGCACTCTCGTTGAAAATGCCCTTTCTTATGGCAAAATTTACAACGAGGAGGACCTTTGGCATTGGTTGAGCCTGTGACCGCACTTGTACCAATTTTGTGGACCTTTGAGCTTTCACCGGTCTTGAACTTGCCCTTTCTCTTGCTAGTGTTTGTGGTTGTGAGATGGGTGACATCGGGCTTTTCCACTTTGAGGCACTCCTCCTCTTGTACGCACATTGCAATTAACTCACTCATTTTCCATTTTTCCTTTTGAGTGTTATAGTTAATTTTAAAAGGACCAAATTGTGCAGGCAAGGAGGTCATAATGAAGTGGACTACGAAGCCCTCGCTAATCTCCATATCCATACTCTTAAGTTTGTTAGCCATGTCACTCATCATCATAATGTGCTCACGCACACCACTCACACCGTCATATTTCTTTGTCAACATTTGCAAGATTAATGTACTCGCATGAGCCTTGGAGGTGCCCTTGAATTGCTCCTCTACGGAGTCCAAGTAAGTTTTCGCATTGTCCGAATCCGGAATGGCTCCACGAATAGCAATCGAGATGGAATTTTTTATGATCATAAGAGACATGCGATTTGATCTCTCCCACTGTTCATGCACTCGTTTATGCTCCTCAGTACTTTCAACAGTGAGTGCAGCGGGAGGGTCATGTCTTAGTGCATAATCAAGATCCATAACTCCAAGAGTCAACCTTACATTATCTCTCCATGATGCAAAGTTAGTGCTAGTTAAGGGTTCAATCCCACAATTTGACGTTAAAGTGGCTGTTGGAAATTATAAATTTTAAGTATATGCAAAAAAAACGATTTGAACGAGAGAAATTAAAAAAATCGACAAATTTAACATAAAGTATGTCAGTAAGAATTATCTATTATCAACACCAAAAATAATAGATTCTAAAATGTCCCTTTTTTAATCATTGGTTTCGCTTTGGCTAATTCCAATAATTAAATTTAATGACATTATAATCATTATATTTTACTACATAGGCATCTCATATCACCTTTGGGCAGAAATGCGATGTCTATGTTCATAAAGTCAATACTACAATCATATGTACCATTAAACAAGTAGCCGTTGGGTTCATTGTATAATGTTCCATATAATTTGCATAAAATCCCAAATTAAAGCATATAATCTTGATCCACTTTATATAATTGATTCGATGGCATTAATAGGGTGCAAAAATTATCCAAGTCAACTTAAATGTCTTCCGTTGGGTTGACAATCTAAGTTAATAATTTATTGGATTCGAATCAAATTCAAAACACGATCATATTTGAGTAACCAATATGTAAATCGTTAACAACTAATAATAATAATATACTCCATATTAATACGATCCATATTAACAACTTTAATATAATTCGTTTAAAGCAGTTTCATATACAGACAAAATTGATCGCAGTATACTCCACAGAAGGAAATTTCGTAAAATCATTTTAAATCTAAGTAATCTACGTAACCATTTGAAGTTACAATAAATCATTATAATAATATATTTCATTATAAAACTGCAGTAATCTACGTAATCTATGAAAACAGTAATGTATAGAAACTACTACGATATACTCTAAACATGCACCATCATTATAATAATATACTTCATTAGAGGACACATCTACGGATCTCATATACTGCTAATATGAAGTACGTATAGTATTCTGGTAATGTTATGAAAAAGGCTCTGATACCAAATGATGAACAAATAATCATCATATATGTAACCAAGATCAAATAACATCACACAATAGATCATAATCATAAATTCATATGGACTTACTTGGAGAATATCCAATATTCATTTGGGAGAATTGGAAGAAGATGATGCCATTGCTCTAAGAAAATGAATGTGTAATCCCTTATAGGACAAATAATAGATGGAATATATATTAGAGAGTTGTGCTCTGATACCAAATGATGAACAAATAATCATCATATATGTAACCAAGATCAAATAACATCACACAATAGATCATAATCATAAATTCATATGGACTTACTTGGAGAATATCCAATATTCATTTGGGAGAGATTGGAAGAAGATGATGCCATTGCTCTAAGAAAATGAATGTGTAATCCCTTATAGGACAAATAATAGATGGAATATATATTAGAGAGTTGTGATAATCCCTTGATGGTGTTTGTGTTGTACGTATCTTGCTTTTAGGAATGGGGAGGAGTATTTATATTGGGAAATAACCAATAGACACAACCCTTCATTTATTGTCCTAAAGGGTGTTACCACAATGGTACCCCTTAAGTATTATTTCCATCAAATAATACACATATATAATACATAATTATATATATAATACATAAATATAGAACACATATTAATATTGGTCATTAGGCCATATTAATTGGAAAAATTCCAACATGAAGTAATTTTGTACTGCATGAAACCTGGACATTACAAAAATGATTGTTATTTTCTCCTAATCAATAAATATCAAGGACAAAAGATGCCTCAATAGAAGCAGAGACAAGCCTTTGTTAATGAAATGAAGGAAATCCCTCAATACAATGGAAGTAGTTCTAAATAAGAAAGCATATGTTTTAAAATCTCATAGGAACTAAATTGAACATGTCTTGTCAATCATGAATGAACCACTCGATTGATTAAGGCGTCTTTATAAATCAATAACTTAAACCAATATTTGGTCAAAAAGGCCACAAATGCCTTATTTATGGAGAAGCATAATTTATTGAGAAACGTTATACTCCCTCCGTCCCTAAATTATCTTCAAACTTTCCTTTTTCGTCCGTCCCAAAATTATCTCCTCTTCCCCCTTTTAGCAAAAAATTTGTGGTTCACAACCATTCTTACACATTCTTACATATTTCTCTCTCCTCTGCACAACTCTCCACCACACAAATCCCACTATCTTAATAAATGTGCTCAGCCGAAAAGGGAGAAAGATTAGGGACGGAGGGAGTAGACTAATTCATCTCCCCTCCCGTGTGGGAAAACTGAATGGCAAAGGAAAATATCAAAATTCTAAGGGAAAACTGTCAAAGAGATCCTCGATCTTTCATAAAAAGGTCAATTAAGTCCTTCTATAGAAGGTTCTGTCCGGCCGTCGCGATTTGGGGCAGTTCCCGGTGGGATTTTTTGATGAAATTTTTTGAGCATCTTATTCACCAAGTCTAGTTTACTCATACCAAATTTCAGCTAAAAATGCATTCGGGAACACATTCAAATTAATTCTTTAAAGTAACTCCGCATTTTTGCGTTCTCGAATTAATTTGAATGCGCTCCCGATTACATTTTAGCTGAAATTTGGTATGAGTAAACTAGACTTGATGAATAAGATGCTCAAAAAATTTCATCAAAAAATTCCACCGGGAACCGCCCCAAATCGCGACGACCGCACAAAGTCTCCTATAGAAGGACTTAATTGATTTTTTTATGAAAGTTCGAGGATCTATTCTTAACATATACTTCGTACATAGTATAAAGCTGCAGTCGATTTTGAACATAGACTCGTACATCCGTCAAGTGAGCAAACTAACTAGTCCATTTGTTATTAAATTGAACTTTGTTTGGTAATACTTCATCCGTCCCGCAATGAACTTCTCAGTTTCATTTTTTAGATGTCCCAAAAACAAGTTCTCATTTCTTTAAATGACAAGTTAATCTACAACAAAATAGTGTCAAACAGTGCAAAACAATGTCAAACAGTGCAAAACAATGTCAAACAGTGTCGAAACAGTGCAAAATAATGTCAAACAGTGTCGCAACAGTGTCAAAACAGTGCAAAACAATGTCAAACAGTGTCGAAACAATGCAAAATAATGTCAAACAGTGTCACAACAGTGTCAAAACAGTAAAATTTATCCCATGATAAGTTTATTTCTTTAATATGTGTGTAGGCCAAACTGTGAAATTCATTGTGGGACGGAGCCACGAAGGGATTATACTATTGTCCTAAATAATAATGATAATAATAAGAAATAATTATATATTAATGACTAAAATAATATTGATTATAAAAATGTGGTTTTTAAATGAAGTGACTATAGTGATAGCTTATAACTATTATTAACTATGTGATAAGATTGTTATTATTAGAATTAGTGTTAGTATTAGTATTAGTGTTACAGTTAATTAGAGTATCATTATAATTAGTATCACTATCAGCACTAATATTCATAGTATCACTATTTGTATAAGTACTATTACTATTATTATATGGGAAAATGGAAACTAATAATCCAACCTTTTAGCGATCTTCTTATAATAGTCCCACATTTTGATTATTCAGGAATAATTCAACATTTGCACCTCATATTCATTCAATGGTCCCTGACCGGTTGATGACCTAATATTCCAAGTTATTTTCTTATCTTTGCAAAACAATATGTGACCATAAGGTGAGATTTATGATATGATATATTGCAAAGATAAGAAAATAACTTGGAATAGCAGGTCATAAACCGATCAGGGACTATTGAATGAAGATGGGGTGCAAAGGTTGGATTATTCCCGAATAATCAAAAGGTGAGACTATTGTAAGAAGACTGCTAAAAGGTTGGATTATTAGTTTCCATTTTCCCTTATTATAACTATTAGTAATATTATTTTATATTAATGTATTATCATTCAACTAGTCTTTCCAATTCCAGTTGCTTGTTGTGTGATAGGTAAATTTATATTTTTTGGACTACAAAACTACTTTTGTTGAGAATTCGATAAAATGTGATTTTTATATGATATTATTCAATAATATGTTAGGTATTATTTGTTTTTGTTCATATTAATATTTTATCATTAAATTACTTCTTGCAGTTCTAGTTTTTGTGTGATTGGTAAATTTATATTCCACATTTGTTAGATGGGAGATTTACCTAAATAGGAATAAATAAAAGGATAATTGTAACAATATGATCGAGTTTAAAGTTTAAATTCCTAAAATAGGACTAACTCTTCCTATTCTACCCTTCCTTTGTCCTTCCTAATAGGATTTTTTAACAATCATTATAAAATATAAAAAAAAAAACAAAATAAAAAAAAAACAAAAAATCATAAAAAATAATTACAAAATATACAGACCTCAACCCCCTCAGCTACCTTCCAGCACTGCCACCTCCGGTCACCGGGAAAGATTGCCCAGTTGGGAAAAAATGTCATCATGATGGCAATTTTGAAGAGAAAGCTGGATATTTTCAAAGAGTAAAAATGTCATTCTTATGACATTTTCAGAGAAATGTGGCATTTTTTTCCGGCGACCGGAGTTGGTGGTGCTGGGAGGTAGAGGACACATTGGCAGTGACCTACATATTTTTAAATATTTTTAAGGTATTTTATTTTATTTTTTAGACTTTTTAACGCCTTTTAAACTTTTTATTTATTTATTTTTAATTTTTTTATTTATATTTTACTTTTTCACGTTTTATTATTAATTTATAAATACTTTATTATTTTTTTTATTATTATAAATAAAACTATGATTTTATTATTAATAAAATAAATCTATTGGAAATTATAGGAAGGGGTAGAATGGGAAGAAGAGGCATATATTAGTCATATTTTGGGAATAAAAAGATTGTACTCCTATTGTTGAATTTTGAGCTTATTTTAGTCCTATTAAGGGCTAATACCCGTTGTTAGATT